CCAGCCTCCGAGCTGCAGAAGGCGATGCTTGGGCCCAGGGCGAAGTCAGAGGCCAAGCAGGAGCCCGAGTCCTCCCACCCTTTGAAGAGGCGCGAGGTGCTGACGGCGGAGCTGGAAGTCCAACGGGGCGTTGGGTGCGAAGCTGGAGCCCCGTGCCGTCAATAAGGAGGTGGAGGCGAAGCAGCAGCCCATCCAGTCCGTGGAGACGAAGCTGGAGCCCGACTTAGGCGAGCAGTGGGCAGTCATGATGGAGCCCGACCTCGATTGCTACAACGCTGGGGGCAGCGCAGGCAGAGAAGGGCGGGCAGGCGGCGGCAGACCGACCTGCTCCTCAGCGAGAAGTCGAAGGCGACGCAGGAGCTCGACGGCAAGTTGGAAGCGAAGCTGGGCGAGCAAGACAATCGACGCGACACGGCGAAGCCAGTGAAGGCAAAGCTGGAGGCCAACTCGGTCGTGGAGACGAAGCTGGAGCCCCGACTTCTGCGAGCGGTGGCAGGCCCTGCTGGAGCTCGCCCTCGGCAGCAGCAGCGCCAGGTGCAGCGCGTGCGCGAGGAGCGATGGTGGGCAGCAAGGCCTGGCGAGACTCAGCGAGGAGTCGGAGGCGAGGCAGGAGCTCGACGACGAGCTCGATGAGAAGCTGAGCTGAGGGTCAGCAGTACAGTGGAGGCCAGTCCACGAGAAACCTTTCACGAGAAACCCAATCCTGAGACCCCAGGACGTCCATGGATTTTTGGTGCGGGAACGTCGCGCCTTCCATCGCAAAGGCATCAAAATCCAAGAAGCCCAGGGCACCCTGGTATGGGCCCCCGCTGCACGAACCGTTTCGGCGCTGAGGTCCACCGAGCCCTGGCGGGCTGGCAGCGGCCAACGCCCGACGCGAGATGGCGCGCCGCGCCGAGGCCTCGCGCCCCACGGCGGGGGGCGCCGCGGACGCGAGGCGGACATGAGGAAGCAAGAAGGCACCGACACCGCCACAGCGGAGGCAGTCCACAAGAAACAGCTCACGGGAAACCCAACCCTGAGACCCCAGGACGTCCACGGATTTCACGGTGTGGGCACGTCACGCTGTCCATCACAAAACCATCGAAACCCAGGGTACTCGTAGGTCGGGCGTGTTCTCCTACAGGCGGATATGGGACGAAAAACAAAACAGATTCTGTACATAGTCAGTACTGGTCAAAACTAGTCGAAAACCATCCCGAGACTAGATTCTGACTCTTCTTACGGATTCCTCTTGTAGAGGGACATGCCCGACCTCACGCCACTCCCCGGACCTCTCCCGGGGCGCCCCAAGACGGCACAGGAGGTTCTCCCGTGGGACCCAAGCTGGCCACACAGGCCCTTCGGCTGCTCAGACATGCTCCGTCCTGCCAGGAGGGCCCCACGACGGCCCAAGGGAGCCTCAGGACGACCTAAAGAGGGCCGCATGACGGCCCCAAGGAGGCCCCAAGTGACCCCCAAGAATGCCTCTCGGGAGGCCCAGACAGCCACAAGACTGCCCAAACGACCCGACCAGGACTCCGGGGCGCATCCCGCGGTGGCGAAGAGGGCCTCCCAGGAGGCCAAGAGGGGAGCACGCAGGCAGGGTAGCGGCATGGGCGCCCCGTGGTCCTCCGACGCGTGCCTCGTGGCGGCGGGCGCCTGGGAGGCGAGGCGGACCGCCAGTTCGGTCATGCGCGCCAGCGCCGTCGTCGTCGTCGTCGTCGTCGCCGCCGCCCGCGAGGGTCTGGCGCCTCGAGCCGAGGCGGGCCCCTCTCGCCGGAGGGCCTGCCTGCAGCCCGAGCCGCTCCGCGGCCGCGGCGGCCGCGGCCGCACTCTCGCTCGCCCTCTCCGCTCTCTCGCTCGGCCCGCCCCCCTTCCGCCTCCCGCTGCTTCGCTCGCTGCCCGCTCACCCTCCTTTCCCCTGCGCTCGCCTCCCCGCTCCCGTGCTCGCCCCCGGCCGCGCGAGTCCCCCCCCCGCTCTTCCTCGCTCGCCCTCTCGGCTTTTTTTTCGCTCGCCGCCCACGCCCGTGCCCGCCTCCCGCTCGCCTCCCGCTCGCGTGCTCGCCCCCCCGTGGGGCCTGCGCACGCCTTGGGGCTCTGCGGACCCCCTGGCCGATCCGGACCCGGGGTCAGGCAGGCCTTGCGGGGCCCTGCACGATCCTGCGGATCCTTTGGAGGGTGAAAGTGGGGGTCGGGCGCAAGGTCCCAGCAATGGTGCCTGTACGGGCCATGGATGGGCCACGAATGGGCGATACATTGAGCATACATGGGCCATTCAGCCCCCCTTGAAGACCCCCATGTTGCGGACTCCCTCTTTCGCCCTCCACAGTAGGATCCTGCACCCCGACCCGGGTCCATGCAGCCCTGGCTCTGCAGGATCCTGCAAGGCCCGGCGCTCCGGCCAACCCCCCGCTGGCCTTCTGGCCCTCGGCTCCCGAGCCTCGGGACGCCCACCGCGCCCTCGGCACCACAAGGCCTCGGGGACTCGAGCGCGGGAGGCCCGCCGGCGGAGGCGGCCGCAGGCACGGGAGGGGCCTGCGGTGTGTCCGTGTGTGCTCCTGCACTGCTCCTTACCCTGCTCCTGCTCCTGCTCCTGCTCCTGCTCCTGCTCCTACTCCTCCTCTCCTCTCCTCTCCTCTACTCTACTCTACTCTACTCTACTCGGCGCTTCTCGGATGCTTTCTCATCCAATCGACCCTGCTCTGGCAGACGACGCCGTGCGCATAGCAGAGGAAGCCATGCAGACAGTTCGGACGAAGCCATGCGCATGGCAGAGGAAGCCATGCGCACAGCGGCTGGCAGAGAAAGTCGTGTGCATAGCTGGACGCATGCAGGGGCAACATAGGGAGCAGCAGCAGACCAGTCTTCCATGGCTTTTGAGCTGGGACTCCTACGAGCAAGGCTGCTTGGAGAAAAACATGCATCGAGCATCCGACGACCTGAAAATGAAGCCGCTACGGTGGGGGCATCGGATAAGGAACCCTTCGATAAGGAAGCCAGGGTCTGAAGGCCGGTGGAACTCCAATCGAGGCTTGGCCATGGATATCACCGCCGCCCTCATCAGATAAGGAATCCTCCAGGGTCTGAAGCGTCCTGGGCGCATTCCTTGGCCTACGCCACCACCGTACTCCCAGGCTATGGTCCATAAACACACGCTTCAGACTTGGTTTCCCTCGGGTTCCTCCCTCGACTCGCTTGAAGGACGGCTTCACCACGCGGTGCCACGGCACCTGTGCGGGGCGAGAGGAGTCGGGAGCGAAGGCGCAGTGCGTGATTGGGGGAGGGGGCAGAGAGAGAAGGGCAGGGATGGGGGAAGGTTGACAGGGCGACGGAGTGAGGGGCTGAGGGGGTGATGGGGCGATGAGGCGACGGGATGATACGGTGCGGGCATTGGATGAGGAACCCTTAGATAAGAAATCCAGGGTCTGGAGGCCGGTGGAATTCCAATCGAAGCTTGGCCATGGATATCACCACCATCCTTATCAGATAAGGAATCCTCCAGGGTCTACAGCATCCTGGGCGCATTCCTTGACCGACGCCCCCACCGAAGTACAAGAGGTGAGGGAGGGGACGGAAGAGAGGGAGGATTGGAGGAAGGGTAGAGAAGGAAGGGGGGTACCTCGCTGCGGTCGTCGGTGGCGCACTGTATCCAGACAGGTCTGCTCGCCTGGCTCGAGTCTTCCAGCAGCTTCGTCAAAGCCTCGGTCGCGCCGCTGAAACCATCAGCGTCGCTTGGTATGAAGCCGATGCTGCCGACGAAGCCCCCGAGCCGCAGCGTCGATGCCTCATGGCAATAGGCAGAAGGTGCTGGCTGGCGTCGGGGGACAGTCCGTTATCAAAAGCACGAGACCTTCTTGGACACAGACGCATGCAGTTCTGAAGCTCGCATCCTGCTCTCGTGGACGGGATGCCCCGTCGTCAGGAGCACGAGGCCTTCTTGGACGCGGCCTCCAAGCCGCAGCTCTGGCCAAAGAGGCCACTGGGGCGTGGGCGCATGTAATTCTGAAGCCACCGTGGTGCTCTCGTAGGCACCCGTCACCATCCTGGCCTCCCAAGGCTTGGGGGAGGGAGGGGGAAGGCAGCAGGGCCTCAGTGGTGCGCCTGAAATGGGGACGGGAAACCAGGGACGACGCCACACAGCGAATGCTGTCCAAAACCGACAGCGGCCGCTGATGGGCAGGCGACGCACTTGTCCGACAATTTGCAACGTCCACAGCGGCAGAGGCAGCCACCTGCCCCAGTTGGACAGGAGCGGCTGCCCGACTCTGTCACTAGTGTCCCCGCAGTTAGCGGTTTGGACTCCCCAGGTCTGAGAACACAGGGATCCTTCCGCGAAACAACTCCCTGGCATGCAGGAAAGGGGTCATGGTGGAAACGGGTCCTGGACCCCAGAGCTTCCCATGGGACCCGAGTCATCCTTTGCACGCACAGCCCCTCCTCCTCCTCCTCCTCCTCCTCCTCCTCCTCCTCCTCCTCCTCCTCCTCCTCCTCCTCCTCCTCCTCCTCTCCTCCTCCCCCCCCTCCCTCCTCCTCCTCCTCCTCCTCCTCCTCCTCCTCCTCCTCCTCCTCCTCCTCCTCCTCCTCCTCCTCCTCCTCCTCCCAGGGAGCCCGAAGGCAGCGAAAAACACCTCGAGGACCTCGCTCCTCCCCCCTCTCCTGCTTCCTGGCAGGGCCCACTCTGGGGCCACCCCTCCTGACTACCTACCAGACCACCCCAACCCAACCCGAAGACCCGAATTTGACTCGAATTTCGGGTTGGGGGGGGTACGGATTCCATGTGTTTTTTCGACGCTCCCCGACCCCCCCCCCACCGGAAATGGAGGGCAAATTGAGGCCTTCGGGTTGGGTTGGGGTGGTCTGGTAGGTGGTGACCTCCCCCCTTCCGGCTCGCGCCTCTCGGAGGTAGATGTCCAGGGCCACCGTGCACCCCTGCGAGGCGCCGCCCAGGAAGACGCGGCGCCCGGCGCCCCCGAGCCGGGCCACCTCCTCCCCGGGGGGCTCCCGCGCAAGGGGGGGGGGGGCAGGGGCCGGCGGCGCGCCCGCGGGGAGGTGGGCCTCCTGTGAAGGCTCGGAAGCCCCCCCCCCGGCCTTCGGCGAAGTCTCGTGGGCCTCCCCCGAAGGCACAGAACAGCCTCTCCGAAGGCCGGAGGGCTTCTGAGCAGCCCCGCCGCCTGCTGAGAGGGCTCTTCTCCCTCTCTCTCCCCCCCCCCCGCTCGCCGCCGAGAGGGGGGGGCAGCAGCAGCAGCAGCAGCAGCAGCAGCAGCAGCAGCAGCAGCAGCAGCAGCAGCAGAGACACACACACATGTGTGGTGTATATTTACACATCTGTATATCGACCGATATATCTAAATCTATATATATATATATACACATCTAAATCTAATATCTAAATCTAATATATCTAACTACATCTAATCTATATATAATCTATATCTAATCTATACCTAACCACAGCTAAATCTACATATCTAATCTATATCTAAATCTAATATATCTAACTACATATATGTATATATATATATATATATATCCAAAAAGCATAAGCATGGGCCTTCCGAGGGCCGCGCGAACTTCGCGGGCCGGCACGCCCAGACCTCGCGCCGCGAGGGCGCCACGGCAGGAGAGCGTCGGGGCCACCGTGCGGCCCCGGGGCGTCGGCACCGGGGCCCTCCCCGGGGCCCCGGGGCCTCGGGAGGGCCAGCCCTGGCAAAAAAGGGGGGAGACCTCAGGGGGGCGCACGCGGGGAGGGGGAACAGCGAAACCAAAAACAGCAACAACAACAACAACAACAACAACAACAACAACAACAACAGGATGAGGAAGAAGAACAACAACAAAAACAAGAACAATGACAACAACAACAACAAACAACAATAACAACAACAACAACAACAGGAGGAAGAAGAACAACAACAATAACAAGAACAATGACAAGAACAACAACAAACAACAACAACAACAACAACAACAACGACAACAATAATAACAACAACAACAACGATAACAATAACAACCACAACAACAACAACCATAACAACAACAACAACAACAACAACAACAGCAGTATCAGCAACATCAGCAACAGCAAGAACCGTAACAAGAACAAGAACAACAACAACAACAGCAGCAACAACAACAGCAGCAGCAGCAACAACAACAACAACAGCAGCAGCAGCAACAACACCAACAACAACAACAACAACAACAACAACAACAACAACAACAACAACAACAACAACAACAACGACGACGACGACGACGACAACAGCAGCAGCAACAACAACAAGAACAACAACAACAATAACAATAATAACAACAAGAACAACAACAACAACAACGGCAACAGCAACAATCACGTTGAGACTGGTCGGCCTTATCTGCTCACGCGCCACTCAACACATACATCCCAAGCCCTCGATACCCGCCCCCTTCGTCTTCGATCGTATCCCCTTGGGTGTATATCTTTCTTCCCTGCAATGTGTATGTCGTGCAGCCCCTAACGCAAGGAAAGAGAGGACGGGTGGAAGGAAGGGACAAGGGGGAGGGAGGAGGATGGAGCACAAGAGAGAGTAGCAGGAGGGGGCAAGAAACCGAAAACACGTGGCAGAACCAGACGGGCAGACCGGGCGGGTAGACCCTAACAGGCGGGTCGGGAAGGCGGGGCAAGGCGGCCAGGTCGAGCAGGAGGGTCGCTGAAGCGTGCCTCCTGCATGAATCGCGAGGAAGCCTCGAGCGCCAGGACGATTCCCAAATGAATCGTCAGGAAATCCACAGCGAGAGCATGATTCCTGAGTGTCGAGGGCGCGGCGTCTGAATAAATTGCGAGGAAGTCCCACGCGAGAGCGCGACGTCTGCATACATTGTGAGGAAGTCCCGCGCGAGAGCGCGATGTGGGAATACATTGTGATGGGTTGTGATGGAGTATCAAGCGGGAGCCGCTGTTGTTGTAAACCGGGGGCCAGGGGCGCAGTTTGGTGACACCTCGCTGTCCCTTGTAAAAACAGGGTACGAGCCCCAGGAGAAGCGCTTCGATTTAAAAATACGATGCTTACCGGGGAAGGGAGATCAGCAACAATTGTTCTTTAGAAGTGAATAGTCAACAACAGCAACAACAATAACAACTGCAGCAACAAACACTACAACAAAAAACAAAAACAACAACAACAACAACATCAACAGCAACAGCAGCAGCAGCAATCAGAACCACAACCACAACAGCAACAACGACGACAACAGCAGCAGCAACAGCAACATCAACAACAACGACAACAACAACCATCACATCCACAACCACAACCACAATCACAGCCACCACAACAACAGCAACAACCACAACAATAACAGCAGGAACAACAACAACGACAGCAACAACAACAACAACAACAACACCAACACCAACAGCAGCAACAACAACCACAACCTCAACCACAACCACAACAACAAAAATCATTTCAAGATTATACGCCTTATCTGCTCGAGTGTCATTCAACGTGTATTTCCCAAACCCTCGATACCCGCCCTCTTTCGTCTTCGATCGTACCCCTTTCGAGGGGTATATCTTTCTTCCCTGCAGTCCTCGCCCCGGCAAGCGGCGGGGCGGCCGCGGACCGTCGGCCAACGGCAGCGCATACCGGCTGCAACCCGACCCCAAGAGGGACGGGCACGGGACCGACCACGACGACGACGACGACGACGACGACGACAACGACGACGGCGACGACGACGCTGACGACGACGACGACGAGCGAAAGCGAGAGCGAGAGCGAGAGCGAGAGCGACAGCGGGGCCACGAAGGGCAGGAAGGGGGCCACGAAGGGCGACAGCGGACCCACGAAGGGCATGCGTATGGGGCCACGAAAGGCGCGAACGAGCGGGGGCCACGAAGGGCAGATAATGTGGGGCCACAAAGGACAACGACGGGGCCACGAAGGGCAGCGAAGGGGCCACGTAGGACAGCGAGGGGGCCACAAAGGGCGATAGCGGGGCCACGAAGGGCATGCATATGGGGCCACGACGGGCGCGAACGAGCGGGGGCCGCGAAGAGCATACGTATATTGGGCCGCAGAGGGCAAGGACGGGGCCACTGAAGGCAGCAACGGGGCCACGAAGGGCAGCGAAGGGGCCACGAAGGGCGACAGCGGGGCCACGAAGCGCATGCATATGGGGGCACAACGGGCGCGGACGAGCGGGGGCCACGAAGGGCATACATATCTGGGGCCACGAAGGGCAGCGAGGGGTCCACGAAGGGCTGCAACGCGGCCACGAAGGGCAGCGAGGGGGCCACGAAGGGCTGCAACGGGGCCACGAAGGGCTGCAACGGGGCCACGAAGGGCTGCAACGGGTCCACGAAGGGCAGCGAGGGGGCCACGAAGGGCTGCAACGGGGCCACGACGAAGGGCAGCGAGGGGGCCACGAAGGGCTGCAACGGGTCCACGAAGGGCAGCGAGGGGGCCACGAAGGGCTGCAACGGGGCCAGGGGGCCACGAAGGGCTGCAACGGGGCCACGAAGGGCTGCAACGGGGGCCACGAAGGGCAGCGAGGGGGCCACGAAGGGCTGCAACGGGTCCACGAAGGGCAGCGAGAGGGCCACGAAGGGCTGCAACGGGGCCACGAAGGGCAGCGAGGGGGCCACGAAGGCTTTTTGCGTAGTCTTGGCGTGTCGGAAGCCCGAAAACGCGAACAGCAAAAAAACAGCGAAAAACACAATGAAAATCGACTATGTTGGCCTCCTGGGGCCTTCTTGGAGGTTCTCTTGGAGCGCTCTTGGGGCCTCTTGGGGACCTCTTGGGGGCCTCTTGGGCCATCACGGGGCCATCTTCGGCGGCTTGGTGCGCTCTCGGGCTGTCTTGGCGGCCTCTGGGCGCCCTCTGCGGACGCCAAGGGGGGCTTCCGAGGCGCAGGGAGCGCCCTGGAGCGTTCAAATAGGCTCGCCGGCGCCGGGGACTAAAGTCGGGTGCGGGGGGGGTGGGGGAGTTTTGGAAAAGTGGGCTGCCCCTGGGCCCGGGGATCTGGACGCCCGGTATGATATATATCTATATATATATATATATATATATATATATAGAAGTGGCACGTGTGTGCCCAGGCTCATACAACAAGCTGAAGGGGCGTTTGAAGCAGGAGTGACATGCAACAGCGAAGTCGCACTCGAGCGCAAGTGGGGTTGCCACACCTTGCGATGTGTGTACCAGGGCCCCCCAGGAAGCCTCAGGAGGCCCGACTTGGATACCAGAAGAGGCTCCAGGAGGCCCCAGGATTGTGAGTGTTGTGTGTGTGATGTGTGCTTTGTGTGGTGCGTGCTTTTTGCGTGTTGTCGGTGTGTGTGTGTGTATGTTATGTTTGTCTAGCGTGTGATGTGTTGGGCGTGATTTGTGTCTCTGTGTGTGCATGTAGTTCTGAAGCCCCAGGAGGCCCCAGGAGGCCCCAGGAGGCCCCAGGCGGCCTCAGCAGGCCCAGGAGAACTCCAGGAGGCTCCGAGGCGGGGTCTGGGGTACCAGAAGGTCCAGAAAGCCCCAGGAGGCCCCAGGAGGTTCCAGGAGGCCCCCAGGAGGCTCCGAGGAGGGGTCTGGGGCTCGATTTTGGGAGGATGTCTCAGGCGAAACCGCCATTCTCTGAGAATCGGAATCAAAATCATTGAAATTACCATGTGTTTTTGAAGGTTGTATGATAAAATGTTGGAAATCCTATGTGTTTTTGGACCCTGACGTCACGATCTGCGTGAGGGGTGCCACCGATTTTCAGAATTTCGAGGATGTCCCGAGCGAAACGGCCAGAAAAATCGCGAACGACGGACGCATTAATCGCCTCTGAGCTCTACTCCCTCGGAGAGGTGCGCATGAGAATATATATATATATATATATATATATATATATATATATAATTGTAAGGAAGTCTCAAGCGAGAGCGCGATTCCTGAATAACATACGAGGAATTCTCAGGGGGGAGCGGGGTCCCGGCTAAATTGTGAAGAAATCTCAAGCGGGAG